AGCGTCATTAAGCCGCTGCGCCACCGCGTCCTTTTTTTTATTTTATTTTATTATTTTATGTTATTTTTAAGATCAACTAAATAAAATTATACCTTACTTTCTATTAAGAATGGTTAATGGTCCTGTTTAGTTCAAATCTATTGGTAGTTTATCTTTTGCTTAGTGTGATTTGGATCAATTATGTTTATTGAGCCTATTTTAACTAGGCTCAGTTTCTATCAATATGCAAGTGATATGATTTTCCACTGGCTTTTACTGAATTTTGTTACTTAGCCAGTGAGATCAAATCTTTAACTCAGTTTCTAGTACTTGGCTTTCTGTGTAATTTGTTTTTGTAATTTGTAAATTTGGCTTTCCCTATTTCCCCCTTAATATCTCTGTGTAGGTTAGAACACTGAAATATAATACAGTCCTTGCTAGTTGCTTTCAGTTAAAACTTTCACAGTCCCTTTCACTGGCCGCAGTAGCTGAGGTAAATTGAGGGCCAGTTTTGAAATGTTCAGAAGAATATTTGCATGTTTAACCTTTTTTATGGGTTAAACAGCAAAGATGCACCACCACTTCCCTTTCCATCCTCATGAATTCAAGAGGCATGCTTCCAAATCATCCATCTGTGATTGTCTAAACAGAGGACACTATTAGTTTTTGTTACTTTAGGATTAAATAATCTTACGCCTAACCATGGATATACAACACTTCAGTTTACAGGACCAAAAGTTGTTCTGCCCCTTACGTGTGGAAAGAATACTTGACCACTGACAAATGTAATAGGTAATTCTGCTGCCCATGTGGCAGTCAATCATTTTATCAAGTGTGATGTGTGAATGTAACCAACCTTATTGCAATTCTGGGAAGAATCCTTTCAAGTAGCCTAGTCTCCAACTGTATCAAAGGAATATAATGAAGCAATGTTGGATAAAGCTTAGCCATTGAATTAAAATTATGAGCTTGCTCACTCTGCTACCCCCCGATTGTGGAATGTGTCATCTTGTCTGAATTACTGTACCATTTGTGAAATGTTGAGTTGCATAATTCTCATACATAAAAAACATTTGTGCTCCTTCACTAGACCCATTTCTAAAAATAACATCCCATAGTATAGTGGAAATTACAGAAACTCCAGAAGAGAAATAAGAATATATATTTTCCATTACTATTAAAGACAAATATTGTTTATACAACTGTACAAAGCTTTCAAGAAAATGCAAATTCTGATACTAACTCTGAAGGATTTTAATTACACAGGTTATTTCAACTTACAAAACCACTAAGCTAAACAACTAGCTTAATGGAACAATTAATTAATCAATGGAACAATTGTTTCCAATGAAATTTATATAGCTACTCTAATTAAAGGCAACACATACATAAAATGTACATAAATACAATTGCACATTACTATTTTATGTACATTCATCAATATCAATAAAATTACAAAATGGTCAGTCATAGTCAAATAGCAACCTGTTTCAATAATTGGAGCACCTCATTTTGTTAAGCATTTACAAAATATGTGTGATGTGAACCCAACTATTGAATACAACCAAATATTGAATACAATATTTTCCAATCTGAACTCAGTGAAATGTAGAAATCTGCACTGAGATTCAAAAATTATTGTAAGAATGCCTCAAGATTTTGCTTTCCTCAGTAATTCAACTAAGTAACTAATGATATTGTATGTTTTGCAATTATTCAATTTTATAAAGAGATCAAATGCAAGATGAACCAGTTTAGAAGAAAATCACTAGCATCCATGAACCAGGTAGCATTTATATATGAATAACCTTATCTTAAGGTTCTTCAAATTCTTGACTCGCAGAATCATATTCTGCAATGAAATGTTTAAGTTCTTCAATACATCTCTCACCAATCTCGTGCAAATTTTGTCTCAAAGAAAATTGGATGGGCTTTTCTAATGCAGGGTCTTTTTCAATCAGCATCTTCACTACAGCGCCAAAGGTTTCACAATCCTGTCGGTAGACCTAAAAAATGAGTTTTAGAAATTCATGCAATGAAATACATTATTTTATATAATCCATCCCAAACTGAAAACTAAGGTTAGATATATAGACCATCTCAAAGAATGTACAACTTTATATTTCCATTTCCTCGAATGAAGAAAAATGTGTTTATGCCTGATTTCTGACATGTGAAAACAAAAGATTGGAAATTCTCCACAGAAAATTCTTCCATTTACTAATCTCAGACATAAAGCAGTTAACCTCACTGGCCACAATTCCAAGTAAGCATGCATAGGATTTCATTTTAAATGAACTTTTTTCAAGATCCCAACTGATTTAGAATCCCAGCATTCACCATAATAATGGGAAAGTGAAGAAAGGGATGGGTGGGGAATCTGGTTATATGATATACAAAAAAATTCTTGGTTTGAATGAGTTGTGTAGAATTCAGATTCTACAAAACCAGATCATGGTCAATGTTACTACTTTCATTCCATTTCAGTTAAGCCTGCGGGGCAGGGGTGAGGGAGGAGATAAGGAATGTCAATAATACCATTTGGAAACAATAGAAAGCATTTAGAGAAACCCATATATAGGAGAAGCAAGTATTTATTAAAAAACCTGATTTTGAACCTGAATAATAACAATGTACAGTTCCATCTGTGGAACTGAGACCAACACCGAATATTGTAGCTCTGCTGGAATTGAGTACTGCAAGTACATTTCAGTGACACTTTCTGCAAGTGTCACTGAAATGAAATTATATGCAACCCTTCTATATTCTAGCAAAACCCTAGAAATATATTCATCTAAGCTAAGTTACTACCTCAAGTCATTGGTCACTGGATTTCCACAACGTTTAAAGTGTCTGCCCTTCCTTACATGAACAGAAGAACTTTATGATGGCATGAATCATAGTTAGATATGACTCTTTCAATTTAAAATGGCTTTAACTGATTGTCAAATATTAAAAAGGCAAAAGTAAACATTTAAAAATACAACAAAGAGTAATTCATTTTTCACTATAGAAGGACACACCCTCTAATAATTACAATAAAAATAACAAACTATCTGAAAGCTGTTTCCTAAATTTCTTCCACAGTAAAATTGTTCTCTATCAAAAACAGGAAGGGTGCTGGTTTATCTTAAAAATGGTTTGTTAGCATTATTTGATAGCTAGAAATGCATTGCTAATTCTGGTTTTCTGTTTATAGGCCACACAGGAAGGAATTTTAATTTAGACACTTGTAAAGGAGGCTGTGGGTTAAGCCAGGGTGGAGTTCACTGTGCAGGCTTGGAAATATATTCCATTTTTACTGGAGATGGCAATGGTGTTTTTTTTTTTTAAAAAAAAAGATTCATTCCAAAATTCTAATAAGTCCTACCCCTACAAACTGCATTTTTCTTTTCAGAAAAAAAAAATCTATGTTGCAAAGTAATTCAAATAGCAGGTTAACATTAAAAGGTGTGAAATACAAATGAGTAGTTATTCAAAATTTGTCATGGATAGTTTACCTTATATTTCTTCTTAATTTTACACAGTTCCAAAGGTGTGTTTACATAGAGAAGACAGATGGCAAAGCTGACACGTATTCATTGGACACATTATAGAAAACACATTGTAGAAACAGCATGAACTAATTAAGTCAGAGCTGAGTATGTATGAAATTTTTCAAGAAGTCCTTAATTTTTTTAAACAGTTAAAAACAGTTTGTTAGTTTACTAACAATTGTGCATGCACAGGATGCAAGACAGCTCATGTTACAGATGGCTTGGATACCAGTTGGAAGCATTATTATGGTATATTCCTTCTTACAACTCCTGAATTTGAGCTAACCATTATAGACACATGCTATTTAGCCTAATTAGCTCTATTTAGTTTAATTAGCTAGCCATGATTTGGACCTACTCTTTAAATCAGAATTAGAAATTTCCCAATTTCCATGTAATAGAATGCTATGGTTTACCCAAGCAGGTAGATAAAGTTCATGAGAATGTAAAAAGGAAGAGGGCTAGGGCCAGAGGGATGGCAAAACTCTTGGAGTTTGCACACACATGGTGACTGACTGCTCTGGTTCAGCAAGGCAATGAATCAATACGACGTTTCCTGTTCAGTAATACGAAGCATTCATGGATGGATATATACTCCCTCCAAAATGTAATGCTGCATTCAATTATTTAACTTCTACATGATGAAGCAATCATAAAACATCATACAAAATAAATGTATTTTGGAAAAAAAAAGTAAATTATTTATAGAACACTAAGTACTCTAATTAAAACCAAGTTTCCATATAACACACTAACAGTAATAAAAATTCTTCAATTTTATTTTGTTGTTAGGATTTGGATTAGAGATGCTAAGGGCTGGAAAAACTTGGGGGAAAAAAATATAGAGATAGAGATAGATATATACCCCACCGGTTTTTTTCCTTTATTTACTTTTTCCCTAAAAAACAAACTATGTTTCCTAATATCTGCATTTTAAGTGATAAGCTGGTATGCTAAGATAAAATTATTAAATGAAATGGATAAGATGCATTTCATAGATAGAAATACATGTTTGAACATACATCAGATAAAGAAACCAATACGAAGTGTTTAAAAAAACCCTTCAGTATTGCAATGAAAGTGCTTAACAAGTCCTGTATGAAAACAGTAAAAAAAAAAATTTGGAAAGGAAAAGAAGCCCTTTAAACTCATAAGTGTGATAGAAATAGAAAATGCAACTGATCAGGCATTCTAAGCCTTGATATTCGTTTAAGCACTTTTTCTTTTAAAATTAATACTTTGTTTTCTGTATCTGATAGAGTGGAAGACATTATCCAGAAAATATAAATATGCTTTTCTCTATTTTCAACAGTGAATTTTGGAAATACAGGCAAAAAGTCAGTTTATACATTTATCATTATTGACTGATTTAAAAACTATACTTTTCAGCTGCATATACCAAATACTGCACACCAAATATTAAAAATGTAATGGAACTGCATTTTATAAAGTAACAAAATGATATCAAAGCACTTTGTTAAAAATTAAGTATATTAATTTTTCTATTCCCCCCACACTAAACTCTAAACTATTTTTCCCCCCATTCTTTCAACATTCCTGGAAATTTTACTTTCTCTCCTAAACTGCTTTTCTCAATATGCTGCTCTTGAGTTATACTGGTCATGCTGCAAGTTGTGGTCCCAATACATCTAGAAGGCAGCACCCTGGGAAAGATTCAGAATAATCATTTTTAAAAGAGCCTAAAATAGATGTGGGTCCAAGCAGCTGTTGTTACAGCTTCATAGAAGGAATTAAACCTACTGCTCCAGATCTATACTGCTTCATTCTGTAGATGACCAACAGGAGCAGCTGCCTTCAACTCCACTTATTTTTAAACTCTCATTAGCATGCTATGCTTGTAAAAGCCTATTTCTATTCCACAAGACATTTACTGTACTTTCCCAGTAACAAGTACTGAAATTAAAAACAGTGTAATATGATTTAAAGACAGGAGGGGAGTTAACCAATTTAAATAGAGGTAGGTCAAGAAATGTGCTATCGGTATTTACTACTGTCCATTGTACCACAAGAGTTAATAGATGTTCACAAAACAATAACAGTGGAGATAGTTTTTACTCTATCCACAAGACAAGCATCATTAAATACCATTCTAAAATACAGTCACGACAAAGTAAGTTGCAAAGTTACTGTGAAAATACAACCTTATACTTCCTAAAATGAACCAAAGTCTTATTTAGACAGTAAACTAACTAACCTCACTAAATATTCCTGTATACTTTCAATCTAATGAATGTGGTATTTTGTTAGATTTAATAAAAAATAGCAAAGCAATTATATTTTTTCTGTACTGAAAGGAAGTGTCACATTTATTTATTTAAATCATTCTAATGCATTTGTTACTTAAATCATCTTATATTTTAAACTATATTGTGTAAATCAACTAAAACTTTTAGTCAAATTGTACAGCAAAGTTAATTTGGGGAGGAAAAAATCCTCACAGGTATTCACAAAGACAATCGAAGTGTGACTTACTTGTTCAATTTCCTTCGTTTTTGCAGCAATTGCCTTTGAGCGACTAACATGATGGTTATCTTCAAATAATTCATTGTTATCTGTTACATTGGCACCTGTTTCTTCATGGGGTTCCATATATAATGGGTCTGAAGATGTGGCCTTTAAAAAATGAAGAGTAATTTTATGTGGCTAAAATCCAATTATATAAAATAGTGTTAAATTAGATACATTCCCATTCAATAGTTACCATATCTGCGTCCTTGTATTTCAAGCAATCTTCATAGTTCATATTATGAAAACAAGCAAATTTATTGTACTAATGAAATATGTTTATATAGTTACATTAAATCAGATATCAACATGTATTACGAATCATTGGGTAAACAGTGCACATTTCTGATCTGGCTTGTTGTGATAGCAGCCAGATGTATTATACTGGAAATTTTAAGACATTACCTTTCAGATTTTAAATATACATAAAGCAGCAAGTACAATTAAGTAAAAGCCAGTTGCATTGAGGGATACATACAGTTTTAGTAATATAGGTACTATGGAAGAACACTGAGAAATTTGAAAAGACCTATAACTAGGTCCATAATCAAGCCTTTTCAGCAGAAGCTGCATTTGTGTACACTGACTGCCTAATCTTCAAACAAATTTTCTCCTCTTCGGAGCAGAGCTTTGCATTTTGGCAACAAGCTGGATCTTGAACTAGCTGTGAATTTCATTCTATCTTTCTGAGGATTAAATTTTAAATAAATGCTGAAAGGCCTAATCAGATACTAAAGAAACATTTTAATCAGATAAATAAGCAAGATTCTTTAAGAAAAAAATGATGTATTATAAGGATAAGGAGAGTACAAGATTGGAAAAGCTAGGCCTGTGTATTAGAGGGGAGATGAAAGTAGAAGGAAATACAAAGTATAATATGAAAGACACTGTTCCATCTTCTGTTTGAAGTATTTGTTCACAGTCTGAACCCACATTCATATTTCTCATTAAAGCATAGTTCGACACAATTAAGTACAAGCAGATGTACTTTCAAGCAAACCTCAGGAATTTTTTTCCTCCATTAGTGGGTAGGAGCAGTTCACAAACTTTCATTTATATTGTTAGTTAGTTACAGCTTGTTGTATAATATGACCCGGAAATGTGGAGAAAAGCCAATCTCATAAATTTGATACAAGTAGTCCTCAACCTATGACCATTTGTTCAGCAACCACTGAAAGTTACAACGGCGCTGAACGAATTGTGGTTGAATTCCAGCTGTCCAAGCAACCCCCTGGTTACGATCTGGGTGCTTTGCAACCAGTTCACACTTACAGCCAGTCACATAGCCCTGTGATCATGTGCTCACCATTAGCAACCTTCCCTGCCGTCTTCCCCAGAAACGTCAATGCAGAAGCCAGCAGAGAAAGTCACAAGTCGCTGGGCTAAGTCTCCCCCAGCTGTGCATCCCCCCCCCAGCTCCTCTGTGCTCATGCCGCACCGGCCACTTGCACACCCCCTTGCATTGTCCCCGACCCATACTCCTCCATACCCTGCACGCCCCCTCACTGCCTGCGCAACCTGGCAAGAGCCACTTACCTGACTGCTGGCCTGGTACTTGCAACTTCTTGCCGGCTTCCCACAACCAAATTCAGTGGGGAAGCCAGCAGGAA